AGTTATGACTCACCAAATCCCCACAGATTCAAGAGGCCTACCGTGGTGCGATTTATGGCGCTAAGCAGCAGAGTTTCAGAGATTAATGTCTCCACTGTTTTAATACAGAGACAACAAAGTTTCTCTCTACCTCTCATTTTCTGCCTCACGGGAGAACTGTCCTAGCCAGGAGATTCATTTGATTAACTGCCAGACCTCGTATTTTTAAAATAAGGGAACAGCCATTATTGCTTCTTTGCCCTAACAGACTTCAGTGCAACCTGACATTTCTCTTGCACCTGGCAGGGATTAATCCCATGGAAGCCTGCTAAAAATCTCACCTCCCTTTTAAGACGGTCAGAAATTTGGTCCCAGCATTCTGCCCAACCTTTTCTCCACCTTTTGGTTAACAGAGTTCTGAATAATTCAAAAAAATATTCAGGACTTCTTGATGGTTTGTTATGTTACCCTACTGTAGCTCTAAAACAATGTTTAAAATGTCATTTAGAATTAGAGTTAAAATTAATTTTAACAGGTTTCTGTCTTAATGTATTGCAGAGGGAACTTTCAGCATTATTTTGAAGATTCTTCAGTGCTTGCTAATGTTTCAACATTTTAGGGCACCACTTGGACTTAGAGAAATTGCTGTGCTTCTCTGGTTCTCCAGGCAATGAGACAAATATGGCAAATGGTGCAGAAGAAGTAGGAGTTAGAATTTTGTGTGTGACGAATACCCCCATCTCAAATCTCCACCCATTCCCATGTGATAACAGGGCTCATGGGTTCAATGGCTACAATCCTGTTGCTTTTTTACACACTGTGACGAAAACCCTAAGATATGCATTGTAAGTTATGAATTATTAATACATTATGTTAATGTGTTTAAGAGGAGGGGCTGAGAGATGTTAAAACGCAGAGTCTGAGGGGAGAGAGTTAAGTGAGTCAGGGGGAGTCTGTGTTAGGAATCTGAGAGAGAAGGATAGTTTGGGGTCTCAGGAGTGATTAGTCTGACTGGAAACTGATAATTACTATAGAAGGTTAATATTGAAGCTTGATGAAACTTGAGGATTGTGCCTATGAATTGTTCCAGAAACCAACTGTAATCAATGAACCTGTTCTATTAAAAAGTCCTGAATGGACCTACATATTTTCTGAGCAAAGTAAGTTGATAAGGAGATTGACTGGTGGTAGCGTGTCAAGAGGTTTTTCGTTTACTTTTGTGAGCTTTGTGTTTGGGGAGACAAACGGGCCATGAGGGTGAATGTCACAATTGGTGTCCAGTAGTGGGATATGAAACAATCCAGTCAAGACAGAAGTTTAAAAGTGAATTTTTTTGAGTTGTGGGTGCCTTTTAGTTAGAGGTCTGTGGTGAAGAAATGGGTGACCTGCTACAGCGTTTGTGGAAAAGTTTAGTGGCGGGGCTTCTGATCCCAGATCTGGGGGGAACTAAAGATAGGGAACAACTCTGAAGGAAAAATTCCTTTTACAGTGGTGTCTCGCTTAACAGGTGCCCTGTTTAACGACGAATCCGCATAGCGATGAAGAATTTGCGATTGCTTTTGTGATCGAATTGCGATGTTCCCTATGGGGAAAAATCGCTTTGCGATGATCGCTTCCCCTTGATCATCGCAAATGCCCATTTTCGCACAGCTGATCGGCGGGGCCTCGCGATCTTTGCAAAGGCCCGTGGATCAGCTGTGCGGAAATGGGGCGTTTGCGACAATCGCGTCCCTCAATCATCGCAAATGCCCCGTTTTCTAACAGCTGATCGGCGGTTCCAAAATGACCACCTGGTAAAGAAAATGGGCACCCGCTGTGTTTTCGCGCCCTTTCCTCGCTTACCGAGCAGCGAAAATGGCGGCCGCATGGAGGATTTTCGCATAACGGTGAGTTTTTTCCCCATAGGAACGCATCAAACGTGTTTTAATGTGTTCCTATGGGCTTTTTTTCCCGCATAGCGGCGAATCCGTATAGTGACAATTTTTTTGGAACGGATTATCATCGCTATGCGGGGCACCACTCTGTTTACCTCAGAATTTGAGACACCCTGTGGCTAGCTTAAAATCCAAGGCTTTGAAAGCTAGGGGAGTGTTTGTGGATAAAAGTGGAAGCCAGAGGTCAGAGCAGATCTGAGGGGACAGAAAAATCAAAGCAGAGGTTTGAGGTATAAAAGTATTTAGTGACTGGAATTAAAAGTAGAAAGACATGTCCTTTTTAAAATCAGTACAAACACCCAAGACTAACTCAGACATAAACATGCCCCCCAGACGTAGCCAAAAGGGGAGTCGTGAGGCAGAGAGTTTACTTCAAGAAATGGAGGGAAATTGAGACCATTTAACTCTAATGCAACAGGAGGAATTTGATGAGGGTGCCTCAGAGAGACAAAAGGATCTAAGCTCCCAAGATTTTGAGAAATGGAAATTACAACAAGAATTTAAATTGAAGGAATTAGAGATTAAGGAGAGAGAAAAAGCTAAGGAGCTAGCGCTCTAGGAAATGGAAATTAGAGAAAAAGACAGAGCTGAAGAGAAAGCTCAGGAACTCAAAAGCTGAGCAAGAGGCCAGACAAATGGCGTTTGAGTAAGAAAATAGACAAAGAGAAATGGAATTGAAACAAAGAGAAATGGAATTTCAAATACAAATGAAACAATTAGAATTAAGTGCTCAGAATAACAAGAACAACAGCTCTATCAAAAATCGACCTAAAGAAATTTCCCCAATATAGGAAAGGAGATTGCCCTGAATCTTTCCTCATTTCATTTGAGAGAGCATGCTGGGACTTTGATATCAAGATGATGAAAGTATGATAATTCTGAGATCACAAATAAGTGGAGATTTAGCTGAACTGTATTCTCAGATGCCTCTAGAGCAAGCTAGAGATTTTGAAGCCTATAGAAAAATGGTATATTCAAGATTTGGCATAAATGCAGAACACCTGAGTAGAAAATTTCCTTCCCTTGCCAAAAAGCTTGAAGAATCTTATTCTCAGTTCGGGCTAAACTTATTGTTTGGACAAATGGATGGAACATGAAAATGTCACTTCTCTAGAACAAATGAAAAATGTGATTGGGTTAGAACAATTTTATTCTGTTTTGCCTGGTGAATTGTGTTAGTTAAAGAAAAAAAATCCTAGAAATTTAATAGAAGCAGGTGAAAATGCGGATTCCATGAGATACGAAACCCCAGGTTCTCTAAGGTAAATTTTAACAGGCAAAACTGGAACAACAATAAGAGACCCTTCAATAAAAATTACCTCAGAAACAC